CGATTCCTCATGGATCTAGAACTCGAAGTACCATGTGACCCACCCATCCCATTGCTGTGTATATACCCAAAGTATTAAAAATCATTCTGCTATAAAGACACATGTACACGCATGTTTATTGCTGCACTATTCACAATAGCAAAGACCTGGAATCAACCCAAATGTCCATCAGTGACTTAGACTCATTTCTGATTCACAATATTGCTATTTGATACTTCAACTCCCCATTTAAGTGAGAAAAGTTATTTTTTCCCTTGAGTGCTGTCTGATATACTGTGAAATTTTAGAGAATCTGAATAGAAATAAGATATCAAGATAGCCAGAGAAGACAAGGTGTCCAGTGTAATGCTGGAAACCTAAGAAATATCAGAAAATTACAAAACTCAGATTAGAACTCATATACACATTTGTAATCAGGAAATAATTGCTGAGGCATCCCTGTGGCACTTAACAGTATTACAACTATAATTATACGGTTAAATCAGATTATTTTCCCCTTGGTTTATCAGAAATCACTCTATTTTATTAATATAAGAGAAGGTTTTAGGGATTCACTATGTGATCAACTTTGCTTTGTTTAGTTCCATTGAGAGAAAATAAACAGGAAAATGAGTCCTACAAACCCAAGTTGGAGAAACAGTGGATCTGCATGAAACTATTAGAAAAGAGCAATCACTTAAACTCAATCATTTGTTCTTTGAGAAATTCTATTATGCAAAGCACACTATTTTTGACATTGAGATTATAGAAAACTACTCTAATTGGAGAATCAGGAAATAACAAAATTGAAAAAAAAGCAAGAGGCTACACACACACATAAACAGACATACCATATATATTTATGTATTTATATATACTTATATGCAATAATTATGTTTGCTACCAGTGATGTACTCTAATATATTTTTGCATTTATTTATTTATCATGCAATTATGCACTGTTATTTACAAACATTAACTGTCATTATTCTGAATTCTTCAAGTTATAGATGAGGATAGTAACAGGCACTTGTAGTTAGAGAAGGACTTGAGATTTAAACCCAGCCCAATCTGGCTCCATTATTTGGGCTCTTGAAACTTCTCTTTTTTTTCTTCAATATAAATTTGGTGTTCTCTTCTCTCCCTTTCTATTCTCCCTCTATAGTCCTAATCCTTTCTATCCTACTCTCTCTCTCTCTCTCTCTGTGTATACATATACATAAATGTATATATTTAAATTTTAGTCTCAACCCAGTCAATTAATTTCAAGTTCTAATGGATGTGACCCAAATTTTGAAAAACTCTAATATAGGCATAATGATTTCAGAAACACTAAGGATGGATAGATACAGGTAGATTTTATGGCACCAGGAAAGAAGAACTTAAAGGGGGAGGAGGGTTAGAAACGTGTTTTTATTTAATGACTCTAATTGCTTATCACAATTATCTCTGATACTTTAGAAATACTATTGCATTATCCTTCTACCAGAATTTTCAAGTGGCAAAAGAGACAATTATAGCCAATCAGTTTAGTACATAAGCAGGGAATCAGACTGTCTGCCTTCACAATTTACAAGATGTATAATTTTGGGAAACTTATTTAAACACCTTGTGCTTCAATCTCTCCATTAGTAAAATGGAACTAATAGAACCTGCTTCAGGTAGTGGGAGTGAGAATAATCAATATAAAGGGCTTAGGCTAATAAATTGTGCATTGTCAGCTCTCAGTAAATGTTGGGCATTGGGTAGTAAATGAACCCTTGACCAAAGTCTTTGGAAAAACAGATAGCAGAATGAACTGTTCCATATATTCAACTAATATATCTGCTCAGAGGTATTCAAGTATTATTTCTGATATATTTTGGTTTATTGTCAGTGAATTTGGCTAAGGAATCAAAAAAGCCTTATACTAAAAATATCATCAATAATTAATAAATAATTTTAGCCAAGTTGTTTAGTGCTAGAGGTCCAAATATTATTTAGTTACTAATCAGGGAAATAAGGAGAGAGAGATCATTTAGTAGGAAAAATCAGGACTTAAATCCTGGGAGTTTTTACCAGCTCTTTTATTTTTCTGGAAGGCAATGACCATCAAAGATTGAACGTTAACTTTGGTGTCAGGAGAAAGTTTGCTGATGGCTGTTAGAAAGAGCAAAATACAACAGCTACTTAAGCAAAAAATTATCACTCATCACTCATTGAGCATGACAAAAATGACATGAGATTAGAACTCATACACGTCTGTATATGAGTCTACCTTTGATAATGGCTACTAAAAATACGTATCAATTTTCTATATGAAACAAGATCATGGGTGCTACTTCACTGTGAATTTAATCTGGCATCTCAGTCAATATGAATATTTAAATCTGAGGTCGCTCTAAGTTTCCCCATGGAAGAGAATAAACATTACTTTTCAAAATTTCTTTCTCCTAGGCAAGGTTTTGAGGGACTAAGATTTAGCGATTCATTAGTAAAGATGTGTTATATTTGTAATTTTCATTCAATTGCAAATTTCCATCATAGAGTAACTAGTGTTATGATAATTAAGAAATGGAATTAAATTAGTATATCACATACCATGCTGAGAAAAGAATAATACAGTATAGTTAATACACTACAATAGGTAATTGCTAAGACAATAAGAATGTGACCACAGTAAAGGTGATATAGGCTTTGTGTAGTTCCCTATTACTATAGCCAGTTTCAACAGAAAATGAGTCCATCACATTAACTCAATCCTAATGAAACTAGAATTACACGACAACTGAGCTTTCTCATCTTATACTCTGGGTTGTCTCAGTTCTACCAACTTCCCTTTCTTTACTTCATCAGAATAGTTTCCAAAGACTTATGTACTTTTCAGCATGTAAGTCAATTGGATACATAACACATGGGTGTTCAGAATGTTTATTATGTATTTTTTTTTTTTTTCTCAAATAGTGTTTCCTTTTTTCTTTCCTTGTGGCATTTGGGGGAACAAAAGACTTGTTTTATAATAGTTCCTGTATAATAAGCTAAGGGCTTAGGGAATTATTTGAATTACAAATATTTTCTATCCCAGAGCAGTGTTTTAAACTCAGCGAAGACCTCAGCAGCATGCAAGTTCACATCCCCACCCACTCACTTTTTTTTTTCTGTCTTTGCAGTTCCGCCATGGTTTTTAAATCATCCTTCCAACCTCTATGCCTATGAAAGCATGGATATTGAGTTTGAATGTACAGTCTCTGGAAAGCCTGTGCCCACTGTGAATTGGATGAAGAATGGAGATGTGGTCATTCCTAGTGATTATTTTCAGATAGTGGTAATTATTTTGTTTCATATTTGTTTTTCAATCCCATTCATTGTTTTCTATTTTTTTTCACTTGTTTTTATTTCCTGAAAAAAAAAATGGTTCCTGTTGGAGATATTTTGTGATGTAAGAAAATTATTCAAATAAAGCAAATTATTTTCTAGACATAAGAATTTTTGAACTGAAAAAGAGTGATCAAAGAGTTCAGCCCCCTGGTTTTACAGACAAGACTTTAAAACATACAAACAAACAAAAATAAACGAAATACAGAGAGCCTAAGAATTTCCGAGTAGCTTCACAGTTTCACTGCTGGTTTATCAAAGAGAGTTTAGAATCTAGTTCTAGATTTAAGCCAAGAATCCCTTACTTCTTTGACTTTTACCCATTTTAATACAGTTTTATAAGATATGTTACTTATGATTATGGAAGTCTTCACTTGGTAAGACAGACAGCTTTTGTCTTCCTACCCTGCCTCATAGGACCAGCTTATCCTACATGAAGAGTTGAGAAGGGCAGTGGTGATGTGGTGATAAGGACAGTGGGTGCTGGTGGCATTGGTGGCTGCAGTGAGAGAAGCCGTGAAGAACCACAGTACACATTGCTTTGTAATTTTGAATACTGGAATGAATTGAAGCTAAGATGAATAACTTTTATAGTTTCCTATAAGGTTGAGTTCATTTTCTATCCCTATTGTGGGAGATAATATGGATAGTGGTACTGTATTCACTGAGTTGTTGCCCTGGTACACAGTGAGTGCTCAATAACTTCCATTATTGTAGATTTTGCTGTTACTGGCTGAATGCTTGTCTCATTTTCAAACGCTCTATGAAAACTCACTTATAGGTATAGGTTAGCACTGGAGGTTCTGACTAGGTATATGAATATATGAGAATGATAAAAAGTTCTTTTCAAATAGCAAAGAAATTGCAGCTTCCCAGCACTTTGGGAGGCTGAGGCGAGCGGATGATGAGGTCAGGAGATCGAGACCATCCTGGCTAACACGGTGAAACCCTGTCTCTACTAAAAATACAAAAAAAATTAGCCGGGCGTGGTGGCAGGTGCGTGTAGTCCCACCTACTCGGGAGGCTGAGGCAGGAGAATGGCGTGAACCCAGGAGGCAGAGCTTGCAGTGAGCCGAGATCTCGCCACTGCACTCCAGCCTGGGCGACAGAGTGAGACTCCGTCTCAAAAAAATTAATTAATTAATTAGTTAATTAATTAAATATAAAAAATAAAAGAACTTGCAGCTAAAGAACAGGGTTTTAGGTCTACTTATGTTTGAGATGCAGACATGACACTTTCAAAGAGTTTGAGATGCAGACATGACACTTTCAAAGAGCTGTAATCTAAGCCAGATCTCCCGGGCAGAATGAGATTAGAGCATAGTCATCCTATGAGTCCAGACACAAGCTTTCTCCATCATATTGCAATGGACTTTGTTGCAAAGTGCCTCTTCCACAATCAGTCGACTTTCAGAAACTTTCATAGTATCTGTGTGCATGCATGTTGGCCTATTATAAAGGTTCTTAAGGAATAAATCCATAAAGGACATTTTATCACTTTTATCACCACTTATTATTTTTTACTTTTAGTTGCATTTGTTTAATTGGTTAGAAATAGAGTAAGAAAGATAAAATTTTAACTTTTAAATACCAGAGTGATCCATTATTTCCTTTAAAGGCGATGCTATTTCCACTACCGCTGAATTAAAAATGATCTGCTAATGGGCACCTTAAAAAGTGTTGTATATGCCTAAGAGATATGCTACTTACACTTAAAGGACATTTTTCAGTGCCCTTAAGAACACATTGTAAAAGGCAACATTTATTTTTTTCTACATTTTGAATATAATCTTTCTCCCAGCATGACTCATTACAGTCAACCTATTTAAATTCTTCTTTTATAGGTGAAAGAAAATGTAAGGTATTGCTCTATTTGCATTACATTGTGCTTAAAAATATTTCCTCAACAGCTCCAGAAATTTGAAAGCCATTGTCTGTCACACACATAACACTGAGCACACATAGTAAGTTATATGAAAATTCTTAATTAGAAGTTAGCCAGCTTTATCAAAGAATTTTACATCAGCTAGGAATTGACTACAAGACACTAAAAACAATTAAGAATTCCCCATGAGGTAATATTTATCTCTTAATGACTTCAGGGGAGCTAATTTAACACGTTTCACTTACTTAACTAATTCTTACACTAATATTGAAGATAAACTGAGTTAGTATAATTAAATGCTATCTCTGGATCATTTTATCATCCATCCTTGAAAAATATGATGGCTCAATTTCTAAATAAAAGGAGTTAATGTCGCTGTATTTAATCTATAAAGGTGAAACATTTCAGCCATACAACAAGAACCACATGGGTATAAAATATCCACCATATTCCCCTCTCCAAACCCCAAAAGGGTATATGTCAAAGCCATTACAATTTTTAAAGAATTTTTAGACATTTTTCTGGGCAAACACTTCCAGAAAATATCCAACTTTGATTTGTTCTCTATTTATAGCCTTCTTTTTTTTCCTCAGCAGCTACTAAACCTGAACTTCCTTCAATAACAAATAAAAGAGTGAGATTTCTTTTCATGCTAATCTTTGTTTCTTCTATACCTAAAAAAGACTTGTCTGTTGACTGCTCATTTAGGTATTGAGGATGATGCATATTTTTGTCAGCATATTTTTTTAATGTAGCTCTTGGTTAAACTGATGCCTGTGAATTCAGAAAAGAAAATTGGGAATGTGTGACGTTACCCAGGTGGCAAAGGGCATGTCTGCAAAGCTGAGACACCTCAGGGCCTCTCCTCTTGTTTCTTCTGTGGTGTTTTATTAAACTTTGGTCTCATCTAAGTTCATTTTGTCACCTTGAGTTTTTTGCTTTCTAAAATATTTCACCTGCTTTTTCTTTTCCCTAGGGAGGAAGCAACTTACGGATACTTGGGGTGGTGAAGTCAGACGAAGGCTTTTATCAATGTGTGGCTGAAAATGAGGCTGGAAATGCCCAGACCAGTGCACAGCTCATTGTTCCTAAGCCTGGTAAGACGATGGGAACTTTGCTTTGGTACCTGGAATGAAAATTATGCATAGTCTGTTTATAAAATCCATATTGTTTTCCCTACCCCTCAAAGGCAATATGGCAATATGAAATTATTTAATTAATTAAGGTGTATACTTGTGTATTGATGACATATTCCTTCTAGAAAATCATGTGCATATGTATATGTGTATATATTTATGTATATTTATAAAATATACATACATATATATATAAAATCTCCAATGAGATACAGTCATCATGAATAATAGGGCCTCTGGTTTTCAAGGCAATAACCACTAAATCATTACCTTCTCCCTATTTTATGGTCTGCCTTTCTTCCCAGCATTCCATTTAAATATAAAAGATATAATATATACCTTGCATATATGTTATGTGTATATTTTAGTTATATATGTGAATATATACATACACGCATCTATAAATACATATACATAAGGGCTATACATATTTTCTTATATGTAATCTTGAATCAATGATTATTATGTAATCTTGAATCAATGGAAGTTGGCAGAAAAATAGATATAACCACTTGAAAGTAAGGCCCTCTTTCTCTTATCTTCTTTTAATTAGTGTATTAGTCTGTTCTCGTACTGCTGTAGAGAAATATCTGATACTGGGTAATTTATAAAGAGGAGGTTTAATTGGCTCATGGTTCTGCAGGCTGTATAGGAAGCATGATGCTGGCCATCTGCTGGGCTTCTGGGGAGGCCTCAGGAAACTTTAGATCGAGGCAGAAGGTGAAGGGGAAGCAAGCGCATCTTATGTGGCTGGTGCAGGAGAAAGGTGTGTGGGGGGGAAGTGCTACATACTTTTAAGCAACCAGATCTCATGAGAACTCAGTCACTATCAGGAGAACAGTACCAGCAGGAAAATCTGCCCCTGTGATCTAATTACCCCCTCATCAGGCCCCACCTCTAACACTGGGGATTACAATTTGACATGAGATTTCGGTGGGGACACAGATTCAGACCATATCAGGTAGATCTTGAAAAATTACACTTTTTAATTATAATTATAAAAAGTGTCATTTTGTTTTATAGTCCTTTGGAAGTTTAATATAGTGCTGAATTATAGAATTCTAGAATAATTCTGGGCACAGTGGCTCATGCCTATAATTCCAGCTCTTTGGGACGCCAAGGAGTAAGGATGGCCTGAGACCAGGAATTTGAGACCAATATGGACAATATGGCAAGACTTTGTCTGTACTGAAAATTAAAAATAAATAAATAAATAAAAACTAGCTGGGCATGGTGGCAGCCACCTGTAGCCCAGCTACTTGGGAGGCTGAAGCAGGACAATCGTTTGAGCCCAGGGTGTTGAAGCTGTAGTGAGCTATGATCACACTACTGCACTACAACCTGGGCAACAGAGCAAGACTCTGTCTCCAAAAACAAAACAAAACAAAAACTAGAATAAACTGATATTAGACCCATTATGTAATAGCTCTAAAACAACACAATTTCTTGGGAGGAGAGACAAAAATAAAAGCAAAAGAACCATCCTGCTGCTCTGAAATGATTAACACTAAAGAAGGTTAAAACAGGGACAAGACAGTTGTTTATGCACATCCAAACACTTCCAAATATTAATATCTCCCATAAAAATTATCTGTCATGTTACATATATTTCAACTTTTTTGGACCAATTTCCTTCCTTTTGACATGGCTCACTTTTGTGTTAATCTTTTCCTGAAGTAAGTTTAATAGAAAGTAGGAAAAACATATAAGACATAGTCTTTCTTTGGCTTTTATCATTTAAAATATGCCTATGAAGTCTTTATATTTTATGCACCCCAGCCAGTTATCTGAAGATTCATAGCAATGCTCACAAGGATGACTTTCTCCTTTTCCCTTGATTGAAATGAAAATAAAAGAACTATAGAGCAACAATGCCAAATGAGTAAAGAAGCCAAAGGAACTATGTAGGAATTAAAAGGGGGCAATTAACTCTTGCTCGAGATACGAGTTTCTCTGATGGACGGACTTCTTTTCCCTCCATCTGATGTTCTTACATGTCAGTGTAGCTTCATTTGTGTGACTAAGTATATTATTTTCTGCTGAACTAGTAATGGATGAGTAGGAGAAAAGGAACCTTTAAAATCAGGGTCTCTAATGTGAGTCACACTTTAAAAACTGTACCATATCGTTAGTAACAAAAGTATGGACGCCTTTAAGCTGATACTGGCTGCTACACAAGTCACAGAACAAGAGAATTGTAGATAAGTTTGATTTTTCAGCTAAGGCCACAAAGCTGAGGACAGTGTGATATATGTGATTTCATATTTCTAAAGGAGGTGTAAGATGTATCCTCCTAGCACTTGGCACTGACCAAAGAAGCCCAGTGAGCATCCCTGCAACTACTCACAGGGAGGGAGCATTCTTCGAAGTGCTAGAATTCATAGGATGAGAGGTTGTCATGGTATTTTCTCTCCTGTACAAGCCAAGTTATACAGACTCCAAGAAAACCTTTTAGACAGAGTGTGTGTGTGATGTGTGTGTTGCTGGGGGCTAATTGCAAAAATGGAAATAGGCAACTTTTTTTTTTTTTTTAATTTCTTTTTTTTTTTTTTAATTTTATTATTATTATACTTTAAGTTGTAGGGTACATGTGCATAACGTGCAGGTTTGTTACATATGTATACTTGTAGGCAACTTTATTCTGCTGTTTCATGGTCTATACAAACCTGCCCCCAATGTCTGAGGAAGTTGAGAGACCAAAGAAAAAGGCTGACAAATTCAGTTCTTAGAAATATTTAATAAGACTTATGAACAGGAGCCATATTTGTGTCTCTGGAAGTGCTGAGACAACGTGGTGGATCCCCATGCCACTAGCCCCCAGACCCAGGGCTTATATACCATAGGGGAGAGGTGGCTTAGAAGGGAAGTGTGAGATGATGGAAGTACAGTTACACCAAAGTTTTCTGACCTAATGGCAGGATTTATGGTAAGTACCTGCTGTTACACAAGGAACAATAGATAAACAGGAAATCTTATAGGCTTCCCAGAAGAGGGGTTAATCAGAAGCCAACAAACATGGTGGATTAGCTTCCCAGATGGAGTTGCTTTAGCCTCCACACTGGCTGGAAACCACCTGGAGCTGTCCACAATGCAGGGAAGAGAAAGGAGAGGACAACATTGGGAAGGAGCTCTATTTCCACCCTTGAGAAGAACAAGGGTATCAGTTCTACTTGAAGAAGGCAAGGCTGCAGGTTTCTTGAAAGGACTTTGCCCAAGAGGTCCTGTCTGCTGAGGCTGTCCCAACCAAGACACTAGAGTGATGCTGCCTGGATGGAGCTGAGCTAGGAGGGTGGTGCAGGTCAGCCAGAGAGTGCTTTGCCAACTCCAGCAGGGGTCCAGTGACTGCATTTCTAAGGTGGGAATTTTCTTAAGAACTCACAGAACTGCTCCACAAAAAAAAGAAGCATGCAGAAACCTTCCATGAGTGTGGACTTTTGAAAGGACAAGCTGAGAAAAACAGTCTTTGTCTCTTTATTCGAAATTCATCCTCCCCTCTCTGACCCTGAGGAAGCCCTACATAGAAGGCAGAAGCGAACTGAGAGACTGAAACACAGATGATAGGCAGTCCTACTGCCCCCTTCCCTATTTACAATCTATGCCTGCTTGGAGAGATGGAAAGAAATTTTAAACTATTAGGTGAATGTTTTGATTTAGATCTCTCTGAGGTGTTTGTGTGTTGTGGGGTGGGGCGTTCTGTTTGTTTTGTTTTTGAATACCTCAAGATAAAGCTTTTTTAAAAAAATTTATTTATTTGTTTGTTTATTTATTTATTTATTTATTTATTTTTTGAGGCAGAGTCTCACTCTGTGGCCCAGGCTGGAGTGCAATGGCACAATCCCAGCTCACTGCAACCTTGGCCTCCCAGGTTCAAGTGATTCTCCTCTCTCAGCCTCCCGAGTAGCTGGGATTACAGGTTCCCACCATCAAGCCCAGCTATTTTTTTTTTTTTCAATAGAGACAGCATTTGACCAGGTTAGCCAGGCTAGTCTCGAACTCCTGACCTCAGGCGGTCCACCTGCCTAGGCCTCCCAAAGTGCTGGGATTACAGGCATGAGCCGCCACGCCCGGCCAATAAGGCTTCTTAAATACTTACCTCACCAGAGGATGGACCCAAGTTACAATCAGGGTTGGGAGGACAGAGCTGACAGTGTGTGTTTGAAGATGGATTACAGCAGAAAAATAGAAAGCTATTTCCTTCTAATTTCCAATAGTTCAGCTTATTCAATCACCCTGTTATAGATGTTCACATATAACAGGAACTCTACAAGAGGCCTTTAATTCATGGTATCTTGCATTCCACTTGGGCCTGATTTGTTAAGGTCTATGTGACTACAAAGTGTCAAGGCTCCCTTCAGCAGAAATGGCATTTAACTCCTCACTAGAGCCCAGGAAAATCTCGATAATTCATTTATTTTCCATCTAGATGGTAGAGTGTTGTCAGTGGCTTCTACACTCTTGGTCGTTGTTTATTGTATTTGGCATTGGATTCAAAAGAAAGTAAAAGAAAATGAAGATAAAAATCTGAAAGTGTGATAGGACACCGTTGTGACTGTCTTACATTTCCCTCTTACACATGATGGATTGCTTTTTCCTGGCTATTTAATCAGGTCTTCAAAGAATGCCACTCCAATTCCTCAGAGATGCAGCACAGGCCGTGTGCACAGATGGTAGAGAGACCAGCTATAAATATAAATTAAGCAATGAGGCTGACCATGGTGGGAAGAACATAGCCCTCTCTGTTTAAGTTTCGACAATAAATGGTCACCATATATTTTGAAATACATTGTGGGCCTGCATTACCCAGCTGTTCAGCTTTAGCCTGTCCACAGGCTTGTGGCTGAGAGTTACTCTTGGCAACCATAACAATCTGCTTCTCACTGAAGTACAGACAATGACCTATTTGAGCCAGTGTCTGTAGTTGTTGGATGTTTACATAAGCCTAATGAAGTTTCAACATAGTC